CAAACAGAAGAACTCGCTAGTGTTACGTACCTGCCGCCCATTCGGCTGTTAAACTTTGACAGTTGCCAACATGAGCACATCAGACCATCATTGAACCAATCCCCATCGGCACCTCTCAACGGGATGTGGCCGTCCACCACCGTTGCCCTCCCCCCACAGGGATGAGGAGCCGAAAAGATTTGCCGTCGGCATCCCTAACCATCTGGACTTGCCTGAGGTCGTCTATATAGACCCTCGACGTCTCGCTATGTTCGCTCTCTCATTCATTCAGTCACTCTCCCTCTTAACTCCCTCTGAACTGTCTTCTTGACATCTATCCACCCACCCTACACAATGTCTTCCACTCGCCAGTTCGACCCCAACTTCACTCCCTATGTGATCAACTCCATGGGACCCAAGACCCCCGAGCGCACTCGTGTGCTCCTGGGCTCTCTTATCAAGCACATCCACGAGTTCGCTCGTGAGGTCGAGCTCACCCCGGCCGAATGGATGCTCGGTGTCGAGTTCATCAACTCCATCGGCAAGATCAGCACTCCCGTCCGTAACGAGTGCCACCGTATCTGCGACGTGATCGGTCTGGAATCGTAAGTCGATAATCACAGGGGAATGCCCCACAGTGCAAACCAAACTAACGAATTCAAACTAGCCTCGTCGATGAGATCGCCAACAAGATCGTCACCGAAGACGGTGTCTCCCCCACCTCCAACGTCATCCTCGGTCCCTTCTGGTCTCCCAACGCTCCTTTCCGCGAGCTCGGCGACAGCATCATCCAGGACCCCAACCCTAACGGCAAGGTCACCTACATGCACGGTATCATCAAGGACATGGAGACCGGCAAGCCCATTGAGGGCGCCGTCCTCGATATCTGGCAAGCCTCCGCCAACGGCCAGTACGACTTCCAGGACCCCAACCAGACTGAGAACAACCTGCGCGGCAAGTTCCGTTCCAACGAGAAGGGCGAGTTCTGGTGGTACTGCTATCACCCCACCCCTTACTCTCTCCCCACCGACGGTCCCGCCGGTGTGCTCCTGAACCTCATGGACCGCTCCCCCATGCGTCCCGCTCACATCCATCTCATGATCACCCACCCCGACTACGCCACCGTCATCAACCAGATCTACCCCAGCGACGACCCTCATCTTGACATCGACTCCGTCTTCGCCGTCAAGGATGACCTCGTTGTGGACTTCAAGCCCAAGACCGACGACCCCAAGGCCCACCTCGACCTTGAGTACAACGTCAACATGGCCCTCAAGAAGCACCACCCCAACCCCAACTCCGCGCCCCCTGTGTCTTCCTTCGAGCGTTTCAACAAGAAGGAGGGCAAGCTGTAAACAGCTCCGGCCGGATCGTCTTTTAATGATTTTGATGTATAGTACAGCATTTGTTTTCGAACTTCAGCGAGTTTTCAGTGTTCTACAGATGGGGCAAGTGATGCATGACATATCTTCGGATGTTGCTTAACGGGTGACGCCGGCGTCGCTAGGAGGGATCGTATCCGACTCCAGCATATGTTGAGAGTGCAGGATGAGGAGGGTTCTGCATGCTTTGGAGATAAAAATCTGCCCCGATGAGCTTTGCTCGGGCCTTTTACCGTGATCATTGTATATAGAGGGATTTTGCATATATCCTTTTTCAATTGCATTGCATCTTCCAAAACTCGTTTTCTGCGAATGTATCCGCAATCACACGTAATATTCTTGGTTTAAGTTCTCAGTGTTATCTCGGAGTCCTTAGAGTGGGAGTCACTTTATACCACTGAACAATTCAAGAGACAAGAACAGTCATTCAGCCGTCGATGTAGAATCAACAGCTAGCGAGATGAGATCCTTCATGTAGACAAGCCCATGCAGACAATCTCAACGCATGACGAGAGCTCTAGAAACGAGATATCCAACACAAAACGGCGGCATACTCAAACAGCGTGTCATATTGAGCAACACTTAAACCATCACCTACAAACCGACAGGTTGAACAGACAAACTCACCATCACCACCAACAAAAGCCAACGATTCCTAAATATAGCCAACCCAATATCAACCCAAGGAACACATGACTAACACATACTACATCTAGATATCTTAGGTATCCTAGCCCCTCCACCCATACCCCACATCAGAACCCATGGCGTGAAGTACAAATAGACCATATTTTAGGCCCATGACTAGCGCCCATCAATATAGTATACCATACTATACTCAAACAAGTTAAATCATAGCACACTCGTCTCATCCTCTAAAATCCGGCCGGATATATATAGCCATAGCGGCAAAACAATCATCAGCCGGAAATTCGAAACGTGGCGCCATTTCATGCACGGGTTTCCTGACACGCGGAGGACTTGAATTGCTCCTGGTTTTCCCGCACATCGGTGATGGTTTCATAGCTAGAAGTGGAGATGGCTCATTGCGTAGCTTCTGTAATGTATTTGCTAACTTCTCTGTCCTTTGCTGTGTCCGAGGCTGGAAGGGTAGGTCGCACTATGTTCGTGAGAATCTGCTTTATTGGGATATTTAGGGCAAGGAATAGGGCAAGGAATAGGGCAAGGAATAGGGTAGAGGAGGAATTGCTGACTTTTGGGGAGGCTCCAGGATTATCGAGAATTTGTAGTCCAGATTCTTGTAGGGTGCTTTCATAATAATTGGCATTGTTATGCTCAATATATACCCAGCAGCTACCCACGGATAAATACATTGTTTCCCATTTTAGGAAGACTGATGCTGCAAAACAAGATAACGAAAAACGAATAACTAACAACATAAACTGCCATTTTCAAGTTAAAGGAGCAACGATGAGCTTTGTGGACAAGGCAGCGAAGGCCCGAAGCCTAGCCCTAGGAATGCTCGATGAATCTCCCGAGTCAGTGCACTGTTACCGCATTGGGTAAGTATGGCTCTGCGCAACAATTACTCTCGTAGAGAGATGCATCAATGGAATGCAAATTTAATTCAGTCCCAGGCTACAACAGCTATATGCCTACAGGGGGGTAGCTAGTTTAATGCTATATATTCATCTATCTCAGCACGCCTAGGTACTCTACAAGCAATTCAGATCCATACCCATCTCATCCAATCTCAAGTTTACCCACCGCTATCTCAAGTCAACTTAACAGTGCCAACTCATTCCTACTTTTTAAACATGCTCAGAAGTACTTCTTCAACTACCCTGATTTGCCCCGACAACGAAGAAATATACAATCCCATCTTCGACCTTGCAGAGTACGGAGACGCATGTGCAATACAACACTTAATTAAGACCACCAATGCAGATATCAACTGTACCAACGACGAAGGCCACACACCCCTCCAACTCGCAGCTAGAAATGGCCACGACGAGGTCGTGAAACTACTAGTTTATGTAAAATGCTATACCGAGTCCCAAGATCCCGAGCAAAGTTTCACGCCACTCCTGCTAGCGGCCATATACGGACAAGAGTCTGCAGCGAGAAGACTACTCGAACAAGGCGCGGACATTGAGGAAAAGGATATGGAGCTCGGGCGAACGCCGCTGCTGTGGGCCATCGAAGGAGGCTACGACGGTGTTGTGAAGCTTCTCGTGCATAATGATGCCGATATCCATGCCAGGGATGATGAGATGGGTATGAATTCCCTCTTGATTGCTGCTGCAAAGGGCCACCATGCCATTGCTACGTTCTTGCTTGATCATGGTGCCGATATTGAATACACATGTACTGAGTATGAAGCAACGCCGCTTTGCTGGGCGGCTTGGCATGGTCACCTTGAGCTGGTGAGACTGTTGCTGGAGAGGGGCGCCAATGTCCACGCGCGGAATATGTGGAGCGACAGTGACTCACTCATTTGGCCACATTTCGATCGGAGATGGTGTCGACAAACGCCGCTTCATATGGCGGCCGAGAGAGGGCATGAACCTGTTGCGGAGCTGCTTTGCCGGAAGGGGGCTGATATTGAGGCGAGGGATATAGATGGCCAAACTCCACTCTCCATGGCGGCGAGGGACGGTCGACTGGCCGTTGTTCGATTGCTTCTTGACAAGGGGGCTGAGGTGGATGTAAGAGATATACGCGGGCGAACCCCTGTCGCCTTAGCAGCTGGCAACAATGTTGTACCGACAACGAAGTCGTTGATCCCGGATCATAAGATAGAGCATGAGGAAGTTATCAAACTCCTGATCCAGAGAAACTGCAATATCCACTCTGAAGATAACCAGCACCGAACACCGCTTCTGTTAGCTACCGCCGCGGGTCACTCAAACAGGGTTCGGCTACTACTTAAGCATGGGGCAAATATAGAGTCTCCCGACGAAAACGGTTGGACACCACTTCTAGTTGCCGCAGGAAACGGGCTTCTGGAGACAACGAAGGTTCTTCTAGCAAATAGCGCGAATTTGAATGCTAAAGATGCAAATTACCGAACCCCTCTCATATGTGCATCCCACTTTGGCCATATTGACGTCGCGAAGTTGCTGATTGAAAAAGGAGCAGATATCAACTCCCGCGACGGATGTGGCAAAACCGCACTGTTCTGGGCTGCAGGAATCGGACATACGCCGATCGTCAAAATACTTCGTGGTATGAATGCCGTGTATCTTCAAGATTTCGATGGTCTGTCCCCGTTGGAATGGGCAAATGAACGAGGTCGTAAGGATGTGGTCAGGCTGCTACTTGGCGAGCACAGCCAGGATGAAATTAAATGGTTTGATTGGAACGATGAAACGAAGGATAATGGACAGAGGAAAATGGTTTCCTGTCATCCTTTCTGACTGGCTCTGCGTGTTAAGATGTTGGCGCCTTTCTTGAGTCGCCGTTTCAAACATCTGGAACTTGCCACGACGGATTAAACCAAGGCCCAGGAAAGCTCCTGTAATATGGTTAGATGTATGGAAGACCGTCTGGCTTTGACCAAGGTAGTTGCTCTTTACACTTCTGATTGTTCGTCTATCATTGATATAGATCAGTTACTTTTTATGACTAACAACGAATTTATAACTACATGGATTGGTGCCAAGATTGAAAGTTTACTCATTTCTTCCCCAAGTGGCTTATTATACTGTGGGCAATTTTCTCAGCCAGCATATCTGAATATAGCGTTAGCAGGGGCTCACTTCAGAAATACAAGAGTGGGTAAAATGCTTACAGACTGTACTTTGAGGATGTCCAGGCGGCAAGAGAGGAAAAGAGCTGGCATCAACCACTCGAAGCCGGTCAACTCCATAGACTCGGGCGTGACTATCAACGACAGACATTGGGTCACTACGTACACCCATCTTGCAGGTGCAGGCTGGATGCCACAGTGGCATCAACAATTCTCTTATAAACTGGATGATTTCCTCATCCGATTGGTCCTCATGAAGTGGATAGGACAGGTTCCCAACCGCGATTGATTGAAGTGGTTCGCTTTGCCAGATCTCTCTCATCCGCCTGTATATTGCGACTGCAACCTCCACATCAGTCTTTGTGGTCAGCCAGTTTGGGCTTACGATAGGCCGATCGGATGTGGAGTTACTGCGGATGGTGACGTTTCCCCGCGAGGTCGGCGCGATTAGGACACCGACAATGGTCGCATACTGATATCCGTCTGCTGGTTGTTGACCCATAAGGTCACTGAAATTGCCGATGAATCCATTTGCTGGAAGGTACTCTACCTCCGGCCAATCGCTGGGAAATCGTGAAAGATCGTCAAGTGTGCTGTGAGACAAATTCAAGCGATGGGAACGTGGAAGCTTTTCCCATCCCAGCAATTCTTGGGTGTTGGCCCAAGTTCCTTCATGTTCTATCGCGTACTCAAGCCCCTGTTCAAGATAATGGAGTTTATCATACGCCATCCGGGTCTCTGTCTCCAGGCTCACTCGGTACGAGGGGGCAATGAACGGGTGGTCCCACATATTCTGTCCCACCCCAGGGAGACTGGAGACAATTGGTATATTGAGTGAATTGAGAGTATTCTCAGGCCCAATACCAGATACCATGAGAACCTGCGGAGAGTGGAAGCTACCCGCACATACTATCACTTCTCGCGCAGCTCGGATATGGTATCCTCGTCCGGCTGTTTCCACGTCAACGCCAGTAGCTTGCTTGTTCTCATCAAAGACAATCTTTTTGACGAGTGTGTCGGGGTAAACGTGCAGCTTGCTCGTAATAGGTAGACTGCCAATGAAAGTGTCTGAGCTACTGCGAGTCTCGTCCATCGGGTTGATAGTAGATGGATTGTACTGCGTTCCGAAAAGGTGACCGCTGTTGAAATCCTCAGTCACAGGAATCCCCACTGCTTCCATACCTGCCTTCAGCCACGTGGCGAACGGCGATACGTAGTTGATATAAGATACTTGAACGGGCCCTGTGCTGTCCTTGTCGAATGCGTCTGGATTGAACAGGGTTGTCGCATTCTGGAACCGTTTCGATGTGTCAGGCGGCGTAAATTGCACCGATTTCTTGAAAAACGGAAGAATATTCTCCCATTTATAACTCTCATCTTCTACCAGGGTGGCCCATTGATCATAAGACCCTGTTGTTCCTCTGTTGTTCGGAATTAGCGAGAAGCAAACGCCGCCAGGATGCTCATTAAAACACACCTCTGGTATATCATGGCATTAAGGGCAGAGCTGTTTATTTATCAGAAGATCTATCTCATCACCGAGGACTGATCGCATGTAAGGAATGTATAGGAGAACATACGACCCACCAAAGCATTTTCCCTGCGCATAGTGCAGTCTACGCCCATTCGCGCCCGCTTGGGGGACAGTAACGATCCCCCAGTCCACTGGGACATTGACATTTTCCGGGTCAGACCCAACAAGAAGATTATACCCTGCGGGGATGGTGGACTTTAGCGGTGATTTAATTTCATAAAATGAGCCGGCTTCAACGATGGCGACAGACAATCCTGCTTCGGCCAGGCGACTGCCAATGGTGTTGCCCGCCGTGCCTCCTCCGACAATCACATAATCATAGGTAGATTCCACTCCGACCACGCCCATCAGAGTGCCCAGTTTCCCTTTTAGTGTCGGTACAGTGGACTTTAAAAGGTCCAGTGCTGGTTGCAGGAGGCCATATGAGGCTACCCATGAGAGGGGAAGACTGAGAATCAACAGGGCACGTAGAGAGGCGAAATGACTAAAGAATATCATTGTTGTGCAATTTAGAGTAATTCAAGACCAAAGGGTCCGATTCTGCTATGTAAACAACCAAACTATTGGCAGAGGATCATGTAGATCTGTTGGATCTTGTTATTATAATGAAGAACCCGATCGTAGTAAGATCTATGCTAGGGTTAGAGTAGGCTTGAAAGGTTCCGTCAAGGGGTTCGTGTTTACCAAATGCATGAATTTAATTAATTATTCCTTGCAAAACCCAAAACTGCCCGACTCGGGTTTAAAGAATATGCTTTACTCAATACTCTTTTACACAGGTACAGTACATGCATACTTTCACTCCAATAATAACTTATTAACCGATAGTACGGAGTACAGGTCACGAAAAAAGTTTAGCTAGTCCCCTTATCTCAGAAAGAGCGCTCATAAACGACATCTCAACTGTGTAAAAGTTCCAGAACGTCCTGCACACAGGCCAAGGGGTTCCGACTTGGCATTTTACTGGTATTTGTTCGGCGTTCTTCGAGTTGGGAACTGCGCCATTTGCCACTATTTTTACTTCTAAAGGGCAGTATTTCGTAATATGATTGACCAGCAGCTACGTCTACTTGTGTATCATTCCTATTTGTGTATATTTGCATTGCTGTTGTTCTCAACACCGGCACATAGGAGATGTTTCTTCGGCATCGCTGTGTTGATGCGTCTTCCAGATTTCAACCTCACACCCACCTCGTACAGAGGCCACTCTCATTGTAGCAAGCAAGTTATGAGCTACTCTCGAATGAGAGTAGACTCCCCCATGAAATGCAGCTGTCGCGTCTTTTCCGACAAGAGATTTAAGCATCAACGAACCCCCTGGATGGCTTTTGCTAAAATCGGTCACGTCGTGGACAATTCCCGCAATGGCGATAAGACACCGTCCGCCCTTTTTGGTTTGCTCTACGTACTCCTCCCATTCAAGAACTGGTAATCGGCTAGGCGGTACCCCCCAGTCCAGCCTGGCCGCTTGCTTTACTAATATAGCATGCTGCTGTTGGATATACCGCTTCTGTACATCATCCGGATGGAATTGTTTGACGTCGTAGGCCAGGCCAAAGTATTCCCAGATGCAAATGGCCCATTTTGTCGGATCGTACTGGTACCATTTCGTCGCATTGCGGTAGTCGGAAGGAAATTCATGGTGAAAGTTGTGGTAGCCCTCTCCCAGAGCAAGAAGGGCCGTTAGGAAATGATCCCGAGAGGATTTGCTTGCATCAAACGGCTGATCTCCCAGCCAATGGGCCAGCGAGTTGACACAGAATGTAGCCTGATGGACAAATGCCATTCGCAGGATGCCAGCATAAATAAAACCACCTGCCAGTCGCCCCATGACAGTCCACTGAGGAGAGTAGGTAGTAGCAGTGCCATGAAGATCACGACGGCAGGTAGTTTTGATGCTGCCATACCACGATGGGATCCTCATTCAAGTCACTGATGTCGACACGGCCAATGCGTTTCGGATTCTGCTTCATGACTAACCAGCCTATGTGAGAATATAGGAGTCCCTTGTTGACAGAGTAGGGATCGAAATTGGTGTCGGTGTATCGATGGTGAGCGCGATGATTGCGGGCCCACCATCTGATCGAGCCCTCACCCGCCCCTGCTCCACCCAATGCAAGAAATATCTTGAGGCCGTTCGAGGCTCGGTAGGACGTATGAGACCACAACCGGTGATATCCTGAAGTTACATGTTAAACAAGGGTGTCCCGGTATGCAGAAGACTGGTGCCTACCCACCCGCAGTGATACCGAGTCCTGTCGCAAAGTAATAAACCAGTGATAAGATAGCTGTTTTGCATTGCAAGGGTATCCAAATAGCTTGGACGCATGCATACAATGGGAGTAATATTGTGAGAACCACACCCCACCAATTGACATGTTTGTACCAATTTTGCACTGTTATAGGCGTGTCTGCAATATGAACCCTGCTCCGAAGCCCAGAATGAGTCTCAATATGAGAGACACATTTAGAATGGTGACAAGTGGACATGATATTATAGTAGGAGCAAACTATTTGTGAATATACCAGACTGTTTGAGGAGAATTAAGACGAGAATTATGCAATGGATTGTGCGTCTCACAGAGGCTCTTCCGTAAAGGCACCTCCAATTCTCCTTTCCTAGATACCATTTACACCGCTATATCTGTCTGCGATGGTCTCGGGGGAATATTAACCGAAAGAAAGCCAAAGATGGGAATTAGGATACCCCTGAGATCCCTCACAAAAATGTAATTATACTTTACTCCTTTTGACGTTATATAATCATACCTGACAAAAAGAATGCATTGGTGGACGTATAAATTACCATACCTGCTGAAGGACTAATAATAACTACGGTTGGTTTAAAAAGCTGCGAAGAACCCAAATCATGTTCTAATAGTCATTGATATAGAGACGAAGCCAGGTAGTAGGATGGTCTTTGAATCTAATATTAGCGTCTACGCAAAAACAAATATCATTGTACGCAATGCGGAGCAGATGGCCAGAGATAGTACGTAGTAGCGCAGGAGGTTAAGCTTTGGGTAGATGTCTCACAACAGCAACATCGTTCTGCTTCATAAATAAGGGGGTGAGGATCGCTGAGAAAACAGCGATCAGATCATTATTGCCCTGGCCCTTGCATTTGTTTTGATCGGCTGTGTATTGAGTGAGGAAGTCCGTTCGGGTGGCTGCAAATAGTATGCAACTAGCCGGGCTGGCCCACCAGAAAGTGACATATCATAAGCAATGCTGTCAGATGCGAAGCTGATACTGTTACTCCATAGTCTATGAAATATCTGGTTATAATACAGCAAATATGTGAAGCTAATCACATTCCAGTGGACAACCACATTCCAGTGGACACTCCGTCCGTACAAAGAACGCTTTACACATTCTAATGAGATACGCTAGTATCATGGAAGGAAAGAGATCATCGTTATCTTGAACTTACCCCTTGAAATAGCAATCGCTATGCTACCTAACAGTGGGGTTCAACAGGGGCTATGTATATATCAAAAGCATAGTTAATACAAGAGCTGGGTGACCTAAAGCAATCTGACACAGAGCCGGATAAATTCCTACTTATGAGCAATTTATGTGGTTGAGAGAATCAGATAGGTCCTTAGCCAGCGTAATAATGAGAATACACAGAAGGGACTACATATCTCTGGAAAACAATAATGGTTAAAGGATGCGACATTTGGCCCGTAGTACAGTTTGAAATAGTCAAATACGTACCCTGCTCCAGTGGTGCAAACAATGCCCGTGCACATTATTCCTCAAGCCCTTGGTCCGTATCATGATTTTGGTCAATACTATATTCCTTTGTCAAGAGACTCAGAAGACCCCCGATCGCTGTACAGACGCAGCAGAAAACCCAGACAGCCCGTAGACTGTCTGTGTACGCTTGGCGGAGATCATCCTTGTCCTGCGATGGTGGTTCGGCCTGCATCTTTCCCACCAACGCGACGGCATTATGGCTTATCTTCTTTGCCATAGGTGCCAAAGCCGGGTACCTTTGCAAGTTCGCCTCCATGCGATTCTGAAAGATCACGCCGCCAATGGCTACACCGAGCGACTGCCCAAATGCGCGAAAGAAGCTGAAGAGCGCGGTTGCGGTGGCTAAATGGCGAGTCTCTGAGCAAGCCTGAATGGCGTAAGCGATACTTGTCACCAGCCCACCCAAACCCAAGCCTGGGATTGCGATCAGAGAGATCCAAATAGCTCCCTTTGTTGTCCGATCAAAGTAGCAGAGGATACCGAAGCCTAGCGTAGCGACAGCCCAACCAATCCAGATGAGAATGCGGTAGCGCCCCGATAGCACCGCAATAATACCTGACGCACAAGCGCTCGGAGCAATGGCAAAAGCAAGTGGTAGAGCTGCAACCCCAGCAGGAAGGGGCTTGAATCCATGTACTGCTTCCGCATAGAGGGGAAGGTAATACAGGATACACCAAAGCGTAAGCCCTTGCAACACTGTGCCGATATAACTGATTAACAAAGAGTGGTTGTCGATCCCTGACACTTGCAAGATCGGGTCTGTGGGAATATGGGTCTCGTAGACCATCACCCCGATTGTGCCAATAGTCCCAATGATCAAAGGAACTAGCACTCTCCAAGAGTGCCAGGCATACATCACTCCGCCCCAGCTGAGAGCAATTAAGAAGGATGCAGTGCTGCATACGAAGAGGACTAATCCGACCGTATCAAACTTCTTCAGCTTCTCTCGCCTCGTGGTCCTCTTTGTCTTGATTTTTAGGTATATCACTATCAGGGGGATAGAAAGGGCTGCAAACGGAATATTGATATAAAAGATCCATCTCTATGTCATGTGAGATCAGAAATACCCTCCCTGCTAGCTGAAAATATCGGGTCTCTACTCACCCAGTCCGAATTTGTTGAGAAACCACCTCCCATGATAGGGCCAATAACGGATCCGATGCTCCACATTGAGCCCAAAACCCCCCAATACGCGCCTCGCAGTCGGAAGGGAATCATGTCGGTGACAGATACCTCGCTGAGAGCGATAATGCCACCCCCGCCGGTTCCCTGGATGGAACGGCCCACCAACATCTGTGTGAAGTTTGTCGCCACTGCAGACACAATAGTTCCCACGAGAAAAAAGATGACAGCAACGATAATCAAGAGTTGGCGACCAAATGCAGTTGATAGAGATGTAAAGATCAGCTGACAACCTGTGGATTGTAAGCGTTCGTCTTGATATTTGTTGTTGGTTAGATTTACACGCAGAACACAAGACAAAGGAGGTTCCGCTCCAGAAGGCCTCAATGGCTGAGCCACCTAATTCTTCAGTGACAACCTGTATAGCTTAGCCTATGCTCCCAGTAGTTTATGTAATCTAGAGAGACTCACCGGAAGTGCTATTGAGAGGGAGGCGGCTTCAAGCGCAACCATCAATGTCAATAGGCACAGAGGGAAGAAGGCTAACGTGATTTTACGATCAATCCAGAATTGAAGCTTGCTCCCACCGGAGCCACTGCCACTTGTGCTAGCAGTCTGATGTGTAGATGTTTCATGGCCACTATCAGGAATTGATTGAGCATATTGCATTTCAGTCATCGAGGCCTTTGACGGACGGGCTTCGAGCGACGATAGGCAAAGGTCGGTATTCGGATCAGTTCCTGCCATCGTATAGGAGTCGATCTGAATTGTTATTGACTAAAGTCAACAGCTGCTATGGTAAAGAGAGATTACTCGCTGCCAGCTCTCCTGATATCTCAGGTGCTATAGCTTCTTTTTCTTTTTCTTTTCTGTTTTTCCGCTTTCGTACTTTTGTGGCTGGTTGATTGGAAACTACACCCCCTTACGTTGAAAAAAGGGGGGAAAAAGTCCAAGAGCATCGTTCTGTCGGGAACGGAAAAGATATCTGTTGTCGCACGTTACACGTCAGGAAAAAGATAACTAACGAAAAGAACCAGATCAAGATCAAAGCCCCTTGCGTTATGTTGCAGGCATACATGGCTCCTAGACTATCTATTCAGTTATTACCTAGTAGGTGAATACTGTTGCTAATCTCATGACTATTATCTGTCGATCATACTATAATCTTATGATTTATGCATGCCGCCAGGTGAACTATCGCACGCTAGGGCATTCCACTGTACCAAGGAAGCGGTATACGAGCTTATTGCTCCTGCGATGATCCCTTGATGCCCGAAAGACCCCCAGCCTTTCGCCCAAGACTTAACTTCTCTCACATGCGAGTCTCAGTGTCTAATACCTGTCGCTTACACATATCGCAATTCCTGGTCAATCTCATATGCTTATGTATCTACTAAGATTGTCCCAGAAAATTCGAACTTCGATACTGACATCTCTCGAGCTTACGCATATTTTGCAGTATTTCTGTGCATGAGAGTGGTGAGGCTGCATTGACCGGAAGTTTGTTCTTGATATATAGGCTACTGCAGCGCAACCCCAGACACAACGTGTTGGCCAGCATACCTGTTGCTGTCAATAATGTGGGATTATTATTCCGAAAAGTCTATTCTCATTACGGGAGCCTCTGGGTTCCTGGGAACTGCAATCACTCATCGGCTAGCTTCAAAAGCGTGTCCCAAGCGCATGTATATACTGTGTCGGGGAGGGAAAAGGTTAGAGACGCCCTGGCCCTTTTGTTTCTTCTTTTGTTGATCAAACTGACAAAACCGAATCGCAAAGCCAACTGATTAAGAAATGGCGGAGAAATCTGCCCAAGGATTTTGACTGGTTGCTCAACCTAGAGTCTATAACGGTGCTAGATGGAGACATCATGAAAGCCGGCCTTGGACTCCCACGGGAGATCATCTCTGAGCTGCAAAAGGAGGTGAATATTATCATCCATGCGGCCTCTACAATCAACCTGACCTATTCACTTGAACGGGTGTTTGAACATATCGTCATCCCAAGCGAATCGTTAGCTCAGATGGCTCTGGACTTTACCAACCTAGATCGATTTGTCTATGTATCCACGGCCTTCGCCAATACACATCTTTACAAGGTTTCCAACAAGGCTGAAACAGTGATAAACGAAGACATCTACCCACTCCTGGGTGAAGGAAAATTGTTGGATGACAGCCTTCTCAGTGCCCAAGATGCCCGTGACCAAATCAAGAAGACGGGCTTCTCGGCTGAATTTGAACTCCATGACTTTCCCTGGCCATATGCGTATGGAAAGCACCTCGCAGAACGATTGATCCTGAATCTCTTCATAGACAAAGGATGGGCATCCAAGGTGCTAATAATCCGCCCTTCTGTGATAGGACCGGCGGAGAGATATCCATACCCGGGCTATAGTGTTCCCTTCTCAACGCCATCAACAGCTCTCGCAGCTGCGATTATTGCGTCCCCTGTCTTTAGTGTCACAGTGCCTACACGGTGTTCACGACCAGCAATCGAGGCTACCATTGATGAGGTTCCAGTGGATGTTGTTGTTGATCGAATGGTAGCCCACGTCGCCTTGAATACCACCGGTTGCGTTCAAGCCGTGGGAGGCGAACGTGGCCGTGTTACCTTCGAAGACTTCTGGGGCGCCGCAATGAAGCTAAGAAGACTACCATGGGAGCCGCGCATAGTTTGGTCATCAACTGTTGATTGGCATTCACCAGACTTACATCCTGTGCTACGACTGTATGTTATTCTCGGCACTGCCTTTCTCTTTAGAGAGGAGAAGACCGATAAACTTTGGGAGAGACTTTCTTCGGATGAACGAGAAGATGTGATATTGTTCAGGAATACCGCAGGGAAGTCATACGAGCTGATATCAAGGCGAGAGCACATTCGCCTCCTCCTGAGACTGTTTGCAAGGCGAACTATCTTTCCAGCGTGGTTATTGGTCTATTTGTGTCGTTGAGCAAAGTATCCTCATTTCTTACTCCATGATCTTGACTTGTTGTGTTTTACGAAAAGAAGTACGTCGTATTTGTGGTCTTATCTAATTTCATTCATTTTATGCATGTTAGAAAATTATCTGCCGATAACTAGTATTTATGGACGCCGACATATTGTGATTGAACAAGTCCCGACAATCGTTCATCACGATGAGATGGTAAATAGATACCTATATAAGATATAATATAGCTTTCTCTCTTCGTAATCCATTTCCGTATACCCTACCACCCTGCATTCCAAGCACCATTTCTACTTACTTGACCGAAGCCCAGACTGTTAAAGATTTCAACCTAACAACCTCAACAGAATGGAGCAACTGCTGTATGCGCATCTTCCATACTATAGACATCCATTGGAATATATCTATAGCCCCTTTTCCTTTGCTGCCAGCTTGTAAGTGCGGCCAAAGAACCGGAGGAAAAGTTGAGTCAAAGGGATGAGGTATAACGTGGCCAATAACAGCGCAAAGACTTGGCCGCTATTATCAATGCAAGGGGCCGCGTTGGACGCTCCTTCACCCCTAACATAGGTTTGGTTGTCTGATATGTCTTTGGTCTCAACCAAAGATACGTCTATGGGGCTGTCATACGAGACAAAGGCGTACAACCATGACGCCAGCCCGCCCAAAATGAATTGAGCGATTTGTAGTCGTGTGAGGGTCTGCTTTATGACAACAGGCACTTTTATCCTGAGTACAGTCAATGAATAATAGAGGTACTGTGCAAATGTACAAGTTAGTCCGTTTCCGCATATACCCCGGTAGTCCTTTCTTACCATCAACGTATGAATTCCTGCGTTCAAGGAGACACCCACAACCGCTTGTGGAGTCCTGTAGATAACACCCACCCATGAACAGATGATCACACCCGCATGGTGATACATCTGGAGGGAAGAGACCCTTTTTCCCTTCACCAGCAGAAGCACGGTGTCTATGATCTCGTAGTATTTGGACATATAGAACATCCATGTGTAGTAGTTCATGCCTTTCTCCCACAGAGACTCGGCCTCGTAGATTCCTGCGAAACCATCATGAAGAGTAGCTAGCGGTGATGGTTTACTCCCCGCCGCAGTCGATTCAGGCAGCAGCCCGCTTCCTTGACTGCGGTCAAATCTGCACAAGACGTCTGCGATGTGGTAAGGCGCTCTTGGGGGAGGCGGAAGAGAGGATGTGACTGTCTGGTATACGCCCAAGAATATCCAAGCGGAAAAGATACTAAGCAAAATATTATGCACGAAAGCAATGCGGGTAAACGACGTCGTGCGAGTTATAGGCCACGGACGATACTGTCTTTTCTTATTCAGATAATTCAGGGCACAAACGAAGACGAGATACAAGCATGCCGTAATAATAGGAACTCTGGCATCGAGACTGAAATTGTAAACGGTGGAGGATATATTGATAGGGCGTTTCCATGAGATTTCTTCCCGTGCAGGTCTGATAAGAGGCGGATGGGGTCCGGGAGGGAATCGAAACAGCCGGGCCTCAGGAAGCCCAAAGTAGATAGATAGGGCACTCGACATAACTCGTGCAGCTTGAAGAACTCACTGAACCGTAGTTGGGACATAGAGGAAGCTCTACAAATGGAATGAATCTAGTAGATCTTATAGGCAAGCGGTCGAGACGAACGGCACCTCCTTTGAGCAGATAAGAAATATCAATATCCGCATGCATATAAACTGAAACCGACTTACATGAGAATAATTATTTCCTGCTATTAAGGAGTAATTGGAATGCTTTACTCTTGGGTCCGCGAAAGCAAGGAGGTATGCTCCAGACTATTCTTGGCGCCCCTTGAACTTTAGCAAGAAATATCTATTAGGAATTATTAACTGGAATATTGCTTACGTGTCCATATGGATATACGGAGTAGTGGAGTTACTGCTACAGAGATCACAGGGTTATTCCAAATGGATCATAACGAATGTGATATGTCAGAGCAACCGCCATGATGATTAATAATGCTGGGTCATTCAACCTGGGCTCGAATGCCTGCTGGAAAAAAGGTAAATAAAAAGATAGGGATAGCAAAGGGAAGAAAACAAAAGCGAAACGCCATAACTTATGATGGCAGTACCATGCAATCTGAACCAATCCCGCATAAAAAAGGCAAAAAGACGACTAGATCGTTCGAAACTCATTGTGCTTTCAAGGCTAACAGTCAAATGGCTGGTTGACACTGATATCAACTTTCCTCCGATCTGATGTGGGGAGATCTTACTACTTCTCATGTGTAGGACATGTTTCCTGAATGATGGTGTTACCAGTAGAGCTTGCCATCACCCCAATTAGTTTTCCAAGGGCACTGTGTACCCATACTCAATAAGTAGCTGCTTTACATTCCATACATAAAGTCAAGTTGTATTCTGCTGACAGTCTTTGGTGATCTGCGAAAGCATAAATGTGCATACCTCTACACCTCCTGTCACCATAAAAACCAGCAAAGTTTGTCAGTCTCGCAAGCCATGAACTTTATTCTTTCCCATTTAGAACTATTAGATGCAAGCATTTAGCTCTCAGCTGATTGAATACCGTGTCCACATCTACAGAGTTCTCTGGGAAGATTGATTCGGTATTACTCTGTGACACCGATGTCAGCCCTACTTCAAGGCACATTACACTTAAAGTACTCAATTCACAAATAGAATCCATTCATTCTACTTTTCTCTATCCTGGTGACTTTGTTTATTGTTCTATTCTAACCACATGCTACTACCGACTCTAACAATAGGGGCCATAGGCCTCGTAGTCTGTATCCATGCTTATATTTATCAATCCTACAAACACTATACACGCTCAAAGTCCATGGGATGTCTTCCTCCAACTGTCCTATATTCTGACCCACTCGGTATTTATGACTTTTGGTACATCAACAAAGCCGTGAAGGAAAAAAGATGGCTGGAGTATATTACCTCCAAGCATGAACTTCATAGGAATACATTTCAGTTCGCCATGTTTTATAAGTCAATCATATGTACCATAGAACCTACAAATGTGAAGGCAATCCTGGCTACTAAATTTGAGGATTTCAGCCTAGGCTGCAGACACGAGCAGTTTTCTCCCTTTCTCGGAAGCGGAATCTTTACGTTGGATGGTGAACCATGGGCGCATGCAAGAGGCTTATTGAGGCCTCAGTTCACAAGAGAGCAGGTATTTCAGAAGAAAGCATTGCGCTCGCAAAAAGCTAAGATCAATCTTCAGGTTGCAGATATTGACATCCTTGACCACCATGTCACCCGGATCATCGAATCGGTGCCAAAAGGCCGCTCCAGTTTCGACATCCAGCCACTCTGCTTCTCATTTGCCCTCAACTCTGCAACACACTTTCTCTTCGGCGAATCGGTTGACTCTCTAGACCCACGTCTTTTTCAGGCTTCGGCGGCAGCGAGCGTCCAAGGATTTGAAGAGGCATTTGATCTCGCCCAGGATTACCTTTTCGCACGATCCAGGGCTGTAGGCCTCTACTGGTTGATAAATCCTAAGGCTTTCAGAGATGCAACGCGAACAGTACATGAAGTCGTAAATTACTACGTGCGACGTGCAATAGATATGAGGCAGAATGGTGGCCAAAGGGACAAAGCCAAAGGGCGCTATATATTTCTCGAGGCATTGGCGGCTGAGACACAAGACCCAAAGATCCTACGAGACAATCTGCTAAACATCCTTCTAGCCGGAAGAGATACTACTTCTAGTCTGCTGAGCTCCACATTCTACTATCTGGCTAGAAATCCCAGGGTCTGGCATAAACTCAGAGATCAAATAGTCTCATATTTTGGGACTAATTCAAAACCACTGGCCGAGCTCACGCAAACGTCACTCAAAGCAATTCCATACCTGCGCTATGTACTGAATGAGGGTAAGAGTTTCATCCCAAATGCATGAAAAACAACACTTACCTAAGTCAGTTCTCCGTCTCCTGCCTCCCATTCCTATCAATTTCCGGATTGCCACAAAGGGCACCTGCCTTCCAGTAGGTGGTGGACCAGATGGAAAGTCTCCTGTATACGTTCCCAAGGGAGCGATGATATTCTACAGCGTATATTCTATGCATCGGAGGACGGATATCTGGGGGCAGGATGCACACTCATTCCGACCAGAGCGATGGGAGAATGCGAAACACCAGTGGGAATATCTTCCTTTCAACGGGGGACCGCGCATTTGCCTAGGTCGTAAGTACTACTCTCATGCGATTATTTGCTTTCTGAGTACTGGCGTCTGATTATTCTTTAGAGCAATACGCATTGACTGTGGCTAGCTACGCACTAGTTAGGTTCATGCAGCATTTCGACGTCTTGGAAAATCCGAACCCTGATTCAACTGACAACCCAGTCTTACGCGCAAACCTCACATTGTCACACGATCAAGGTGTAATGGTGAGGCTCTACTCTTCCTCTAGGGCTTAAACGTGGCGAAAGTGATGGGAAAGCGGTTTACGTGTTGATACAGATCTGATCTGCAAAATATCTCTGAGGGACACAATAGAAATCCAGGAGGCCTAATCGTCTTCTGATTCATCAGAAAGAAAGAAAAAATTAGTCGTACTCATGGTCCTTCTGCGGTAGTTAAGTCGGGACAGTCGTGCTCCATGAGCCGATGCTCTATCCAGCTCATGTACACCAAGCCACAGAGTTAAGCAAGCAATAGACGGATTTGTCAACAAAGAAATAGAAAGGAACCAAGAGATCCTGTCTAGCATCATTGACACAGTACGCTTGGATTCTATAAAAATACAAAAGAGGCATAGGCAGGCTGTGCAGCTTTAGTCTACAAAGAAACAGTATACGGTTAATGCTGCCAACGGCGGCTCCAAAAGACAGGAGGTCAATGATCGAATTTATACCACAATAACAAACATAGCCAATGCTATACATGAAAGAAACATGGTTCCTCCAAATCTGTCGTGCCCCAATTCCTATTACTGCTCTCCGATGACTGTTCGTGGATATTAAACAACAAAGGCCCACGTTTTGATTCGTCAGCTCGTATCTACTCTAGGTTGTTAGATGGATGTATAAGCAGAGTCTACAAAGAACTGTAACTTACAGATGTCGCCATTCTCGTGCTGTTTGTATCCCATCGCCGTCGAAGCCGGGTTTACTGTGCCGGAGCTGGACCTTTTCCTTGGGCCTTTCGTCGAAAGACCATTAACCTCGACGTTCATTCGGATCTTTTGGTAGTGGTACGATACGTACTTCCTGTTTGCAATAGAGTGTTAGGTGAATTGGGGATGTTTATCTCCGGGTTTACCACCTACCAGCTATAAAAGCTCACACTTGTCAGCTGTTCCTGTCCAGTTCTTGTATCCAACAATATCGCAAGTTTGCTCACCTTCTGTATTACGAATGGCTATTAGTCCATATTCCTATAGTAGTCACATTTGGAATGCAAGGACAATGTGCTACTTACTTTCTGCAGGGTGAAAGCAATCAGTTGCCTGGCCCACAGAAGTAATCTCATGGCTAACATTAGTAGTTCACTACTTACATGCTATATCAAAGCTGTCAGTATCAGTCATTACCACGCTTAAGGGTGGACTTACATCCTTAGACATCCAGCTTAGTTAGCCCAACCCGTAAGCCTGTCGATTTGTGTGGTGTAACCATGTACTTGCCTCCTGATCCAAACTGTCAGCTGTGATATTGAGGTATGTATGAATTGCAATGACACTTACAACCTAGATATTCCACGTAAAGCCGTTATTAGTCTGCACAATAAATTTATTGTCTGTGGACAGCCAACACTTACACTCTGTTTTAATCATTGTGTCAGCCTCATATCCAATGCTATCCTCAAAAGTCACTTACAAGCTATTTTCCCCAGTGACATCCGTCAGCTCTGTGATTATCCCCGGCTATTTTGTGAACTCGCGGTGTCGAAATTGTACTTACTCCCTAAGGCGGGGTTAGCTTTATACTTTCATAAAGGAAATGCAACAATGCTCACAAGCTAGTCGCTCCAGTGGTCAGTGAATGTTTCCTATTTAGCTGCAACGTATCTTTATAAGAGTTATGACTCACAAGCTATATCAAGGGTTCATGTTAGAGATCTAATCGGCCTGAAGTCAAAGAACTATGTAACTCACATCCTATATAGAAGCACAAGCCATGTTAGCCCTGATGATAGGGATCAACTCGTCTGCAAGATAGTTATGGCACCTACAAGCTGTACACTAATGTTAGCATGACGATTGTGGGATATGCGAGCAAATACTTACATCCTGTAATACCCAGTATGTTAGCCCTAATTGTGGTTACTTAATTCCTTAAGAGGCACTCACCAACTATGAGTGGCAAGAGCTGTCAGCTATTAAATCTCCCTCATCATGCGAATAGATATCACTCACGCCCTTTTGATATCCAGCAATCATCTAGTATCAGCCTGCAATGTTTCTTACCGCAGGATTGATGGTACTCACAAACTTGTTTGCCAATGAAGGTCAGCTCAGTCAACTATGGATTTCTGGACAGGAATTGTGGTCTACTTACACTCTAAGATAATGTTTAGATCATGATGAGATCAAAATCAGCCCATAAACATTATGGATACCTACAGCCTGTTGGTTGTAGTGAGCGTTAGTCTTCTGCGGTCAATGAGAGTCTGTGTAGGAGGCCTGCTTACAAGCTTTCGTTTCCGATGTGTTAGCGATTGCGTTCTGTAGCAGTCTTCTTCGACATAGGCTGTCCACATACCTTCTATTAAATGGTTAGGACTAACTGCTAAAGTATTTCAAGGAAATTAAATGCTACTGAGTTTGAGTTGACTTACAACTTTTCCGTCGGCTTCACCCTGCGGAGGTGGCGCAGCCATTCCGAAACCCAATCCCATGAGAAGAACAACAACGAAAGAGGCCTTCATGTTGGTGAAATATCGCAACAGTCAAGTGTAACAAAAGATTGATTTCCCAGATGTAAACGAACGAGTAAGTTTAGTTGACGATGTTGGCTAATAGGGAAAAGAGATGACCACTCCCGATCCCATCCAGATATATATACCGGCACCTATTGCTCCGTACCTCTTGTATTTGCATCACGAGGGTTTTGCAGTGGAGTAGCGGTCTAGCATATGGTAGGGGCTACTAACGAACTCTGTCTTGAGGTATCTTGAGGTACCTTCTAGATACGATGGTCTTCAAAGGCTTGGTGTCTGATTGCCAACGCTCGGAGATCAATTCCGTCATGGTGCGAAATATTGAAATCTATTCACTACCTGTACAGCATGTGGTATATGCAAGATGGGTGATACTCTGGCTACCCTAGACCCTACTAAGTAGCGCATTGTATAGCCTAATAGAACGTATTTGCGCATGAATGCAATTGCTTTTGCTATCAATAATTCTTCACTCGGTGTTTTTAAGGCCACCATGCCAGGGCCCGCGAGATACCTCTCGCGGGTAATGATGGTATTTTGGTAGGCCTTGTATCACCTGACCCCTAGATTAGGTGCCTTACAACAAAACTACAGTTCTAGATTGTGCTTCCAAGGTGAGCGCTAGATTACATCTTTGATTGGCTATTATATAGGCTAATGCGAGGTACAAATGAAACCATCGCCGTACGCTGCTTGTATTCTTGAAACTTCGGACATGTCCTAAGGCGAGTATAGTGCGTTGATGCATGACCCACCCCCTGCATATGTAGAGGTCTCTTGTGGCAAATGATTTGTAACATACCACAGCCCATAGCTACCTGTATGGAAATGCTAAAACTTGCTATAAGCAAGGACCGTGCGCAATTACTACCCGGCCATCGACGTAGACCTTTGACTCTCATGCGGAGGTACCAAACTAGGTCTGATAGCCAGCCACAGGCTTTCAATAGGAATGTACAGAGATCTTGGTATTGTATTTACATTCCTTTGCGCCGGAGCTAGTGAAAGTGTGGCGCAGCATTGTTTACGTCCCCAGACCTATTATACTGGGTTCGGATAGCTTGTTTAGATAGAGTTTGTTTGTGCAGAACAGAGAAAAGTCGCTGGCCACCTCTCCATTACAATAGCATGGACTTCTACTAGATTCCATCTCAAAGCCATCCAACACTGGATCGACATCCATACAACAAAATATAGCTTGTTCTGTTGACGAGAGGGCTAATAACCTGTCGAGGCGAATTATGCTACGTTACCTAGGATACAGAAACTATTTTAAGCTGAGCACCACAAATAGCCTTGCGGATCATATTTGAGCGATTTAAAGATAATTGCCAGAGACTATACGTGTCATATCCAACCGTTTCTGTCCCCTTTATTGCGTAACTACTCGTTACCTGGCTTCGCAGAGCTGTAATTGTTGTCAAAAGCTTTCTTTTATTCTTAGTAAGTTTTTCCCTTCCACAAGTAGCCAGGAATGAAAAATTAAACTGTCAAGTTGTATTCCACACCATGGCTACACCCGAGGATGTAACGGTTAGAAACCTCAATGGTAATTGGATTATGGTAAGAGTGCATGCTTCATTTATTTTGCACTGAGCAGATCTTACCTTGCGGTATCTTTATGAAGCCTGCATATACTCACACCGTGGCAATACGCAGAATAAGGGGTTGACGGGCGAAATAGAACCTATCCTGAAGCTAGTATGTACCCTTTCATCCATTGGCGAAATTGTTTGTGGGGGTGAGGATTGGAATGGCCAGAATGCTCCAGCTGATCGTCGTACGGTCGCATTTAGCAAGGGATCTCCTGGTTACTTCGCAAGGCTATGGCAGTTGCAACACTTCATATTAACATTATGACATACGGGACGACCGAGCTTGAGACAGGGGAGCCAGTGACCAACATTGACTTCAACCAAAGCGCAGCCGGGAAGCTAGCCGGTACGACTGAAAAGCGGACATTGACTTGGGAACCCAAAGAGCATAAGGACTATATCTTTGGTGAAGTCCAAGGCCGGAGCCAGTTTGTTCTAGGATCTGCGGATAAGGACGGCCACATCCGGCCAGAGTTTGAGTTGCAGAGTGATGTAGATGACGCACAAGAGGTGAAGAGGTTTCTACGGGGCGAGACTCTCCTTGACTCTCGCGAGGAAGCGGGATTCATATGTGAAGAGTCCAATGGTGTTTGGGTGCATACCTTTGAACGCAGCGTCTCTTCTGGCTGGACAGCTGAGCAGGTAGGTTCCCCTGGTGCCCATTGATTTATGAAGATGACTCGTGGGATATGTAATCTTGGTACTTAAGCTGACTGGCATTTGGTTTAAGATCTGGGGTTTCGAACTGATTGATAACAAACGCCACTTCACCCGCCGGGTAGCTGTTGTCAACGCTGGAGGGCGATACTTGTGTGTGAGGCTCGTGTTTGACTACGAACAACCAAAGTGAACATTCATGCTGCACTGAATAGCCGGTGTGCTCCGGACTATTCAAACACTGGGATAGTCCGGCTATGACCTATAGACTTATAGAGCTAGTTCGAAACGCACTATTGCATTCACTACCTTGGTAAGCTAGCACATACGACCATACAGTGTGGAGAACAGGCATTATCGGAAAGTATGGAATTTTTATCTCTATATTCGCTATCTTCTTGTCGACCCCATGTGGACTCAGAAATTTGAAGACTAGGGATAGTATATCGGTGGAATCTATGGTTCTATGAAGAGAGCGGCGCAAAGACCACACATTTGCCGATACCATTATGGTCAACACCCGCATCAAGGGCTTCCTTCCACTTATCCAACGCAAAAGCCTTCGTCTCCACGGACTCCTTACCCATTGGGAATAAACCTCTTTCCAACATCTTGACAAACTGCAGTATAGCCTCTCGTTCATACATCGATTTGCCTTTGGTTGTAATCAGTGTCAGTAAAGAGTACACTGGAATGGCGTAGGGCTCTTCTTACCTTTCAGCGTAATATTATTCATCATAATCTCCTGAACCGAAATGTTCCTCGTAGACCCCATCAGGCTAACTTTGCCACCACGACGGAGTGCCTTTATAGCGCTCCTTGTGTGGGTCGACAATGATGCAGCTGATGGTGTGATGTCGAAAACAGCATCAATAGGACCAAAATCCTGCAGCGCAGATGCATCTTGCTGTTCATCACCTGTTATCTTGACCGTTTCCATATCCGCCCTTGGCGATCTTTGCTTCACCTGCTCCTTCAGTCTGGCTAACTTCTCCACATTTCGACCCATGGCAATTACCCTTGCGCCCATTGCAATGGCAACTTGCACAGCGAAGCCACTATAAAATCCCGTCGCCGGGCAAACGATGATCGTCTGCCCAGGCTCGAGTTGAATGTCCCTTAGTCCACCATACGGCACGAGTAGATAAGCCATGTACATCAGGTCTTGCAGCGAATATCCCAACCTATCACACAGACGTGACTCATTCAGTGGGATACAATTCTCCAGCGGCACCTTGGCGTACTCTGCGTACGTCCCATCACGCCACACATCCCGCATCAACTTTATGCTGCCGTCACTGGACCCGTGAAAATAGGCCGACAGAAAAGAACAATCGGGGTCATCACGCGCGCGTATGACGCAGTCAATGTAAACTAGTTGGCCCGATTTTAAGGCCGTTGCGTCCGGTCCGACAGCTGCGACGTGGCCGATGGCACTGAATCCACCCACTAGCGGTGTGGGAAACGGCAGGGGGCGCTTACCGCTGTAAACGTCCCGATGGTAGGGTAGAATGGCAGCCGCTGCTATGCGGATCACAGCGCTGCCATGGTCCGGTTGAGGTGTTGTGCGGGTTATAACCTGAAACCCAGACTCGCGGTTTTCCAGGAAAAGGGCACGGTGCTCGGAAGGCAAGGCGGACTGCATGATGAGGTTTGTGAGCTACTAAGAAATATAATCTAGAGATCAGGGTGATAGAAGAAACATGCACCGATAGACACATTTATCTTTTCTTTTGGTGCCATGATTAATAATGCCCAGGACGGTGGGGCAGTCAATACGCTAGATTAGATTAGATCAAATTCTATTATTAGGTATCGGTGCCGGCAATCTTCATGGCTTGCGGCCAAGACAGTTAATTGCAGTCGACCTTATGTAAACTTGAACGAACTGGTGTCAGGCTTGCTAGAGATTTGAGAAGAAACTTTGATAATCTCGTTGCAAGGAGGACTCGCATCGCCCAATTTATCAGATTTATATAATTCATTGGCGGTATTCTCTTGTGTTCCCCCAGATACTTCGGCACTGTGTGCGTCGATAATTAGAAGCTTATATGAAAGTACTATTGAGTTAATGACTGGTTATCGACATTTATAGTTGTACATTCTATGCTGGAGGAGAATAATGTGCTACTTGATTTGCCTTCTCTGTGGATGAGTTTCTAGAAGTGTCTGACGTCGATATAGACCAAGGGACTTTTATATGCTGCTTCTGTGTACAGCGGATTCAATGTCGAAATCCTGGCCAGAATACTCCAGCCTTCCGAAAATGAAACTAGAATCGAAGGTCTATATCATACGCATAGAACATGCAGAGCGAATCGAACCTTGTCGTCTGTAGGAATGGGCATGAATCATCTATCACAACCGTTTTGACAGGCCAGATGTACGCGTAAACCGAACGACTCCCAGAACAGTTGAAAAAGACGTTACAACTTTGCTCTCTTCATCAATGTTTTATAGTCCATGTCTCCACCTTGCGCAATAAGTGGGTTGTTCTGCTTTTCGAGTTGTTCATGATCTCTAAAACCAGTTATCAGACCCGCATGTCAGCTATATCTTACTCGCATATTCAAGGCGGTTGAAGACGCGTTTTAGGCCTGGGTCCTTTGGCCTCTATTCATTTGTTTCCTAGGAAGTATAAACAGGCTCTCCATGCAAAGACCTCGTTTCCGTGGGGCCAGGCACCTTCTAAACAGCTTAATAGCTGGTCATGCAAATCCAGGACTGTTCCCATGCAAGCAAGCTAGTCGGCATCATATTACGCAAGCTACTAACGGTTGATCTCCTGCAAAGGGTACCATTGTGGATTCCATTCTCGCCACCCCGCGCTTCGCAATGTGAGCTGTCTCACAACCACATCCCTGAAGCCACGCTAACACGAAACTGCCAGTTCCTGGCCGGATCAGGTCACTGACCCGTTCTATGTTATTACATATTACATAAGTCATAGCTCGTGACCCTCCATAATTTCCACAGAGACCTTCGGGTATACCTCCCTTTCCACCACTCCATACGTCCTGTATAACCCCTTTCACGAATCCAAGATATCCTCGTCGACATCATGCTGGGGACCGTGGCGCCCGCACTTGCTGCCCTGTACGTCGGGTACTTCATTTTCCGGTCCATTCAGCAACGTTATGACCAGCGCAAATATGCCAAGGCTCATAACTGCCAGCTCCCACCACAGGCAGATTCCGGATTTTTTGGTGTTGCAAATTATATTCGAATGAAGAAGGCTGCCGAAAACAAGCGTTGGGTCGAGTACTTCGCAGACCAGTACGGTAGCAATGGAAACACGTTACAGCAGATTATTCTAGGACAACGAGTGATCACAACTATCGACCCTGAGAATATCAAGGCACTTCTGGCTGCACAGTTCAATGACTTCGCTCTAGGAACCAGACATGAACAGTTTGCTCCCCTTCTTGGGGACGGCATTTTCACCCTTGATGGTGCTGGCTGGTCTCATGCGCGAGGACTTCTCCGACCGCAATTTGCCCGAGAGCAGGTGTGAATAGTCTTGTTGGTGAATACATTAGGGTAGTTTGGTAACCTTGCAACAGGTCGCTGATTTGAACCTTCTACATGATCATGTTACCCGGCTGATTGGGTTGATCCCCAAGGATGGCTCGGACTTTGATATCCAGCCTCTTTTCTACCTCCTGACCCTTGACTCAGCTACGCACTTTCTCTTTGGAGAGTCGGTCGGCTCCATGGATTCACAGGGTTCGGACTGTCTTGTCAACTCTTCAGTGAAAGACAGCGAAGGCTTCGCGGAGGCGTTCAATACATCACAGAAGTGGCTTAGTGCGCGGGCCAGAGCAGTTGATCTCTACTGGATGATTAACCCGAAAGAGTTCCGTGAGGCTAATAGGCGTGTGCACGAGGTTGTTGATCATTACGTGCGACTAGCGCTTGAGAATAGGAGACACCCAGAGCAAAAGGGCAATAAGCGGTTTATTTTCGCCGAAGCGCTCGCGGAAGAGACTGACAGCCCGAAGGTTCTTCGGGACAACATGCTTAATATTCTTCTGGCGGGTCGAGATACTACAGCTAGCCTGCTAAGCTCGGCTTTCTTCTTCCTATCGCGTCATCCCCATGTCTGGAATAAACTTCGCCGTGTGGTTATTGAGACATTTGGAGATAGCCAGAATCCTCGCGATCAGATTACGCATTCGAAGCTGAAGGATATCCCATACCTAAGACATGTCCTGAATGAAGGTAAATTCTGCTATTTTGAAGCCGTGATGTCACAGGCTTGCTAAGGAGACCAGTTCTTCGTCTTCTGCCACCGGTACCGTTAAACTCCCGCGTCGCCGTAAAAAACACCACTCTTCCTGTTGGGGGTGGACCCGACAGACAATCGCCCGTGTTTGTCGCGAAGGGTGAGGTTGTGATCTACAGTGTCTTTTCCATGCATCGACGAACCGACTACTACGGAGAGGATGCTGAGACCTTCCGACCTGAACGATGGGAGGAGGACGGCCGCCATGGCTGGGAGTATCTTCCATTCAATGGCGGTCCGCGCATCTGCTTGGGTCGTAAGTTGGACGCATACTTCCAAGGACTGGACCATAAGATTGATACCTCAACAGAACAATATGCTCTCACCGAAGCGAGCTATACATTGGTCCGACTGATGCAACACTTTGATGCAGTGGAAAATGCTGATCCGCTCTTGGTGGAGCCTGTCATAGAGAATAACCTTACCATGTCGCATGGTCGGGGAGTCAAGGTCCGTATGCACCCTATTTGAGTAGCTCAAATGGGTAGCACGGTTTATTTGCGTCGAGTGCTTCACGATGGCTGTTTGGGCCATATTAATACTAATAATTGCATCACATTGATTATGTCTGTTGGGTATTCTTAGCGCTTTTACTAAATTGCAGAACTCTGTGACTGGGCTGAATTAGCCAATTTTTTAATGACAGATTGTCGGAAAAGCCAGTCGTGATAAAAGAACTCAGTTCGGATAGCTGTGTATTGATGCTATGTGTCTTATTTCATAATTAAATTTCATTTTTGAACGAAGAACGAGTTCGGCTTTAAGTAATTTAACTCCGTTTCGTTTCTGGCTCATAGTGAAGTATTGACAACGAAGCCTGGAGCATACTAACATGTCGGCTATAGCTCACCGTCGTCTCAGAGAACTGTTTCGACGCTGGACCCAATGATGCTTTTCTGATCATCAAGAATTGTTCGGAAAGAAACGACCTACCCTGCCGATCGGACTTGTGTCGAGCAATAAGCCGACCTCTGGGTTAACATTACCGTCACTTTTGCTTTGACATGGGGTTTAAGTCTCTCATGAGTGCCGTGCTCGGTAGCGGATCAAATGTCTTGAGGATTATACACAACCTTATACATGGCTTTCAATATAGCCTACTCTTACAGTAAAATGCGTCATCTTATGGGGAAGCATGATTCACGGTTCCAGCACTACTGAAACTAACGATGCTTATCAACCTCGAGACTAGTCTTGTGTGACATGTAGTAAAGTAGCAAACATTGAGACCATGCTCATCTAGGACCTGTCGAAAAGCCGGGCTGATAGAGGACATCTACCAGGACATAATGTGTGTTCGATGAGGTGTGTTTAATGCAAGCTTACCGACAGTACAGTGAGCCCAAAAGGAATAAGAAAGGGATCATGTGTCCGTATATAGCGTGTATTTATATACAGAGATCTGCACGCATAAGAAAATAATGCCGAGTTGTCTCGGAAAGAGGGTGGGGATCGCCCAGTTTATCGTAAATTCATACGCGGACTTAAGAATCGGACATAAGACTATCCACTTTTCTTCTGCCCCCCTGTGGCAGCCCGGGATATTAGCCCTAAGTGATGTATTGTATCTTTGCATGGGTCTATAGGACCTTCAAGGGGACAACAGAACAAGTCCACGGACGTTTTGCTCATGTCAATAACAATCTAAGTAGGGCATATGTGCTCCTGTGAGTGTGCGGGGGATTAACTGGGCCTTAGACCCCCAAGAGTCGATAATTTGAGACAGACGGCGTTTGACTTTCCGTAAGCAGGTTGTTTGTTGCAAGAATATGGTGTCACGAAGGCCCACGATGACCGGTGTACCACCTCCAATGGTGACGGGCTCCGACCCTGCGTGGTGTCGCCCCGTGTGTTAGCAACGAGTGATGGCACTTTTCTGTGGCGCCTGTTTGTTCTTATTTCTCTCTTAATGAGGTAGGTTGAATCTAGAATATCAGGTCATGTACACAGGACAAGAGTGGGTCGGGCGTCTGCAGGCACCGGTTAAATAGTGGGTGCATCTAGGATATCGTGTCATTAAGGTTCCTTCTATAACGAGTCTTATTCAAACTATCATCGTTTGAAGTTGTGTAGTCGAGGTGGATACTTGTAAAGGAATCGTTGAGTACGGTATATGATTTATTCTAGTTTCAAGCAGCACACTATTTCTATGACGTGCGGTTAAATATATTCAGGGTATATTGCATACTGTAGATTTCCAGTAGGACTGATGTGATGGTGCGCTTTTCTGGTATCGATATGAGAGAAAAAGGATGAAATACGCGATTGCTCGTTATGATTACCGTCACATGTGTTGACGTCTGATACAACAGCTGGTGCTGTACCTGGAACGATAGAGAGCGGCGTGGATACCGACGGCGATGCAGCGATCAAGCTCGGTAATAGCTCACGGATAGAGTTTCTGGAGCCTTCGATTGGGTATTACTATAGCTCCTGAGGACAGCTGCATGCGTGCTATTTCATTAGGCGTCTTCAAAGCTGTGGAGTCCATGAATTAACCGATCTCGCTTCGTGTAATACACCAGGTATCGGGCTCATTTGCACCAGAACAAGAATAGCCTGCGATCGGTGATACCAGCTATACGGCTCGCAAAGAATTGAGTATGGTAAGGGGGCTGGATAGTATTGTAGTTCTATCGGCCCCACATTCCCGGCGTGTTCGGCGAGAGCTGTAAAAACTGACTAAAGTCGAGGCCGTGTAAACTTGGTACGTCCGCGACCAATCCTTCCAGCCAGGATACTTCGTCAGATGTGGGGAGCATGGGCTGAACCGGTGACTCGGTGGTGGTCGGCTCATGATGATCTTCCAATAGCCCGCTGAGCAACTTGGTGTCCGAACGCCGCCGGCGCTGGTAGAGGAGAATGAGGAGACGGGCAGTACCGTACGCCTCCCTCATGGCTTCGGTATCGTAGGTGGTAGAAACCAGTTTCAAGGTTTGCATCGCTTCCGGCAAAAGCTCTAATGCAGCACTTGTGTCCATCTCCAGGAGGATACTGATCATCTGAAACGGCACATTGGCCACATGTTGCCATGGGGAGCAATCCGAAGCCATACGTCGGGCGGCACCGAGGCTTCGCTTCAGTTGTTCCACAACCCGCTCCATCGTTGCTGGAGAGGTCATGAGGTTTCTCATATGTAAGCGCCGCAGAAGACAGAGGACCAGGTTACATTGAGCGAGAATCGATGGTGGCTGCGTGTGGTTACGGCTTAATGTCTGCAGCAAGAACTCCTCGATCTCTTCGTCCTGTCGTCGATTCTCCGGGCCCAGGCTGGTGGAAAGGGGCAAGAGACCGAGCAATTCTACCGTGGCATCGCCTGGCCTTGGCGAGGGCAGTGCTACCGGCTCGTGGGGGAAGGAAACCCGAGACAGACCCAGGTCGTACGAGATCCAGAGATTCAAATGTTGGGCGACTCCAATCAGCCGTTGTCGAGTGTCGAGGTCAAGGGAGTCGCACGAGGAGCTCTGGTGAAGTTTCGAGGCTTCGATAAGATGCATCAAGGTGGAGCTTGCAATCCAGGTCGGATATGGTGGGGCTGTCATGCGCATGTAGATCACCCGGAGTGCCCACGCAGTCACCACTTCTATGGATGGGGCTGCAGACCCAATGTGGGTATCCGTTATAGAGCGAGTCAGTTCAACCAGATGGGCTTCGGTAATGTTGATAGTGATTTCGGAGAAGAGTGCCCCCAGAGCAGCAATCCCCGCGAGCACGCCGTCAAACGAATCGCCCTCTGCAGACGACTGCCAACGGGCCTCCAAGCGGCGAAAGAACATTGCTGAATCGATGAAGCCATAGCACGGATCTACCTTGGCAAAGTAAATGTTCGCCAGGGTCTTCATATGGTTCAGCGAGAGGATATCGACAATGGGTACGGCTAGAACCGTGCCAGTCGCTAGACCGGACGGCGGATTGCGTCTACCCACGTTCCAGCCGAAGAGGTTCAGTTTGGGCGCGTTTGCCGGGTCCATTTTGAGACCGATCTTTCTCACAAATGCCGCTCCTGAGTTCGCCTCCAATGACTCGGTGTAGGAGCCCGCATGCTCAGGACTCGGCCCATGCATGGCAGGGAGATCTCCCATCATCCCAGTGGCTTTTGGCTTCATGCGACGCTCATTTTGGTAGTAACAGTCATACCCCCAGCTGCTGCAGGTCGAACAGGGGGACTCTCCATTGCATTTTCTTTTCCGTTCGCGACACGGTTCGCAAGCAAACCGTGATCGTTTGCGCTTTAAAGGGGCAGAATTGCCAGACATAGTCGTCTGCATTGGGAGGGAGGAGTGGAGCGATATAAGGCAGACCGACAGGGTTAAAAAGCGATGGCGGGGGGACGGAAGGCGGCAGAAACGGCGGGCGGGAGCGGCTATTCTTATTCTTCTTATGTGAGTCTCTTAGAGTGAGCCCTACCGCCTGACTAAGCATCTCGTATGGCATGTGATGTGACTGATGTCTATGAACTGGCTTCGAATCTCTATCCCATGCAACAAATACATGTACGTACACCCTCATGGCATGAGTTTCGACTTGCCCCTCAGCCGCGGCCCATACTTCTTAAACACCACCGGGATTGGAATCATGATCGCCGCCAAACATCCGATCAGGGTGCCCGCCCACTGCACCCCGAGATTCTTGAACATCTGCTTGGCAAACAGGGGAAACCCGGCGGCGACACTAGACCGGAGAATGATATTCGCAGCAACGGTGGATGCAGCGCTGTTGACTGGGTCAGTACGTCCCGATCTGACAGCATACTTCCTGATTACTTACAGCGGAAGGTAGGAATCGACCAGGTAGTTGAAACAGGGAAGGAAGATACACAGGATACCAAACCCGATCAGAACGCCCGAGGCAGTGGGCGCAAGCCAATGGATTGTCGATGTAAAGCCCGTCCAACTGAACCTAATTTGCATGTCAGATGGGTGCCGTTTCCAAATCTCCTTGTGATTGTACTCACCAGAATACTCCCACCGTGAAAATTGGGGCACCAATAATAGCGGGTGGTAACCGCCATTCGGGGACTGGAACGTTTTTGTTCGCGATTAATTTCTTCACATAGATGGACTGCTGTGAGAGAACAAAGCCGCACGCTAGCACTTGGCCAATAATAAGGCCAAAAAAGGTGAGGCCGCTCAGTCCAGGATTCATCCCATAGACTGACTCGAATACGTAGGGATAGGCTACCAGCAGGGCGTACACAAGTCCGTAGATAAAGGACATGTAGAGGGAGACAACCAGGATAATCGGCTCAGTGATCAACATTCGCAATGGCCGCGTGAAGTACTTCTCCACCAACTCCTGGAAGTCAACTTTGACCACCTCTTGTTTAGCGTGAATTCCCCAGTTGGAGGTCTGTTGCCGGAGTGCTTCCGCCTTTGGGATGAGAAGGCACGGAGCATAGGTTTCTTTTAGGAAGAGTACAAATACGCTGCAACAGGCGAAGCCCATGAAAGCAGGAATATAGAGTGTCCATCGCCAGCCAAGAAAGCTGGATGAGATGAACCCGCCAATAAACGGGCCACTAAAGGGGCCAACAAACACTGCGAGTGAGTACACGGTGATAGCAGGCCCACGGTGGATATTATTGAAAAGGTCCGAGAGTACGGCTGGAACCACCGACAGCTGACTGGCCCCGAATAGCCCAGCAAAGAAGCGACAGATGATAACAGTCTGGATATCTTTCGCGACGGCAGAGGCAATGCTGAACACCGCCACACCGAACATGCCCACGGTCAGGGGCAATCGCCTTCCTATCAACTCGGAAGACGGTGCCCAAATCATTGGGCCAGATGCAAACCCGAGAACGAATAGAGTCGTCCCAAGAATCCCGACCTCGCTACTTACCCCAAACGCCTCGGCCACGCCAGCAGTTCCTGGAGCAAACACCGCGCTCGCAAACGATGAAATAAATGTTCCAAAACATACCATAACTGAGGTGTAGAGTCTATATTAATGAAAGCTAGGATTAGCTTACATATCAAAGGATTAGGAGATCGACGTACTTCACGGTGAGACTCCAGTTGAAAGGATGTTCCGGATCGTCCGGGCCGTCAAACGTGACGATATAATCATCTTCGTTCGGTAATAGTGGAGGGATCGCTTTCCCTTCTCCCATTGACAAAGGTAAACTTGGCTCTGACCTCTTTTCGGAGATGCTACTCTGGGTCGGGTTGTCAGTTATTCTGGGACTCTGATCACGGGTTACCAGCGTTTGTGTGCAGTATACCTGCGCCTCGATGTCGCTTATTTCGACAGTGTGATCTGTTTGAGAGCCCCTCTCACTGCCCTCGCTCCACAGTGGGAGACTCATGTTCTGTGGTAGTGTTGGCTGCACTGGAAACCACTCGCCCCGGAGTATTTACGCGGTCAGATATTGACTCTTTTCTTGTGTGTCAACTGAAGGGCATAAAGTGACGTAAAAGCCAAACAGAGACCAAGGCAGCGGTGATGGTAAGATGAACGAGCCATAGGGCAAAAGGCATTATACTATAATATTTTCTACAACTGCCTGGCCCCTATAGACACCTGCCGTCGAGTTCCAGGCGTGAAGCTGACGCCGCGGAGGTATCGGGTATTGCGGACATTGGAATTCGCTGTCGTCTTCGGTCGCCCTGGTCGATCATAAGCAAAATGGCCTCGGCACGATTCTCTTCCTGGATCTCCGCAGTAACCGATGATCTCGATGAAAACTGCTTCCCAAAACGCAGTAGTTGCAGCATTTGCCGTTGGATGTCTATACGCACACTCAACAAACCACATCGTAGCTTGGACTCAAGCGTAGGAGCTACTGTGGGAGCTGGTGCGGTGATATGGCAGTTTTATGATAATAACCTTTGCTGTTCAACAATGCCACAAACTACAGTGGCTAGATTATTATGCTCCTAGCTTCGCTGATCACTGGAGTAATCTCCATCCGGGCGTTGGAAGCGAGTGTTTGACTTCTAATCGGAATTTGCCGGCTAGATGGTCAAGCTTTGAACGATCCTTTCATGTGCTCTTGGAATATACGGGTCTTTGCGATGCATATTGATCCCGTAAGATATGTTGGTCGATATTCAAGCTCAGAAAGATAACAGTCAGGCTTTCCTGCTCGAGGAGTGGACATCGAGCCTTCAGCTGATATATAAGGAAATTATCAGAGGTACCCGAACAATACTCACTGACTGAAGTATCAAGTAAACTGTAACGTACCCCACACGAGGTGAATCATGAATGGCTTAATCAATTTCACGATCGAACCCTCAGACGTTATTTGTAACGATAATTCTTCTGCTGCAGCTCCTACGTGGGCAGAAAGTGTTTGGGCCTGTGCTTGCTTGCTTGTATTCTAGGCAAATGAAAACATACTATAAACATAAACTCTCAGATCTCTGGATTTGTCTATAAAAAAGATAGATATGCTGCCGTACACATTGACCCCTGGGGCCTTCTCGTTAGGTTTAGCGTGGTGAATGCGTGGCAGGGATATGAGTATATTTAAGTCAAATATCCGAGTCACTAGTAGATTTGGACTTCAAGTAATGTAGGATAATTGCGACGAGGCAAATCCGAAATATGTCCACATATAGATATCTACACATCTGCATAAAAAATAAGTCAAATCATAAAGAAGATTTAGTTCATAGTAATGGTACTGTTATCAAGGACGAGCGAATCTATTACAAGCCGTACCGTCTAGCGACCAGAAGACAAAAACATAGAAAACCGACACTGGGCATTCATACAACGCTGTACCTCTCTTGAAATCTACTATTCTCTCAATGGGACATCTTGGAGCTCGGACAAACGGAGCTTGGCGGGGATTAATCACAAATTTTGGCTCTATCTCCTGGGAGATTCTGACGCAATCACAGACAGATTGTGCGGTCGAAACTCGCTGCCATCTGGGTCAGGCACTTACCAACAATAGAAACAGTTTCGATAACATCATTGGTAGGATTCTATTTTAAGAGATCCACCAAGCAGTCAATGCAGGGTGGGCAACTAGAGTCCCTATATGATGAGAAACTTGGAAAGAGTAAAGCACAAAAGAAAATAAAATCAAAGCAAAGACAGCGGCAAAGTCGCTAAAAAGGAAAAGGACCAAAGAGGAAACTATTAAAGAAAGTAGGCTATCGTGAAGACGGTATAGGTTACTAGTGGCAAAAGGCCATGCTAGGGCTGGAATGCAGATGCGCAAGCTGCATCCGGAGTAGGGAGCTGTTACGAGAGACTAGAACGGATTAGGTCTTATTCAGCGTCATACGAAGAATTATCCCAGCTGCAGGAGTGGGTCGTTGGAGTAATTAATAAGCTAATGTTATGCACAACGGTTTTACAAGGATGACTTGGCTCGTGTCTGCCAAGGATATCTGCATACCGCTGTAGCCACCATCCATTCTGTTGAAAAGCGCTGAAGACCACCAGCTGCAAAAGATCTGCACTGGCATTGTTTCACATATTGTCACGCTATGCACCGTCATAGTCTCTATGCAATGTCATAGCTTGGCTGCCTTCTTCCACAGCCATACCCGCTGCGATGTACTCAACTGGAGACTCTTAAATCAGCCTTACCATTTAGATAGTTGTGGTTTTTTGTCACCCGGACCCACCAGCAAATCTATTTGGTATGTAACTTTTGACAGTGCATGTCAATTATGACCGCTGCATTGTCACAGTTCCCTATCTTTAGGTTGCTTCAGCCTGATCTTTAGCTTGCTTGAACTTGATCTTTTGGGTGATGATTTCAGCGGCGCAATGTCAAATCACACAATTGGAATGGTGCATGAGGGTAAAATTGTGAAGAATGCACCACCCACTATAGCTGAGCTGCGACAGGGTGTATGGCCTTGTTGTAGTCCAGACTCAATCGCAAGTTGAGATGCATGGCAATTGTTGTAGCGCGGGATTGTATATATAAACTGTAGCCATCGAGAATCGAATGTCCCACGCAACATCTAAAATCATCAATCCACAAAAGCAAGTCAAGAAAATAGATACCCTGAACAGTCTTCTTCACCAGCGCAATTCCAATTTACAAGTGGTCGTTTTTCAGAAAAGTCAACCCAAAAGTTCTTATCAAAAGCCAAAAAAGTCTTTCACCATGAGGTACACAATTCCAGCCACGCCC